GACTGCCCCCTCTCTCCCACCCCTCCGTGGGCGAGCCTGCCCTGACAGCTCTGCTGACTGTGCCGTCACACTGCTTATAAACAGCGGTAGAGCCTTCCCAGTCTCCTGTCACTTCCTTGCCCTTGTGCAGCCCCAATAGCAATGGCTGAAGCAGGAACAAGGAGCCTTGGAGTTAACCCGACAGGGCCAACAGCAGCAGAGAAGGCCCCCTCTCTCCCACCCCTCCGTGGGCGAGCCTGCCCTGACAGCTCTGCTGACTGTGCCGTCACACTGCTTATAAACAGCGGTAGAGCCTTCCCAGTCTCCTGTCACTTCCTTGCCCTTGTGCAGCCCCAATAGCAATGGCTGAAGCAGGAACAAGGAGCCTTGGAGTTAACCCGACAGGGCCAACAGCAGCAGAGAAGTTTAACCCTAAATTGGTCAAAACACTGGATCAGAGGGGGGCTGCTAAACCTGCTAGCTGGCCCCCCCTTTGCATTCCATGCCCCAGCCTCAGGCTCAGAACAAAAAGTTCTGCAAAGTTACTCTGATTAATAAGGCCTTAGGCAAAACTCTGCTGTGACTTTTGAGGGCCTCTATGGTCAGAGTAAGGATAGAAAGGAGGGAACGGCCACTGTGCACAGGTCCGAGGAAGTGTTGGTTCAGTTCTGTCTCCTCACCTCCTCCTCCAGCAGCTCTGAGGAGAGGAAAGGGTTAACAACCCCACAAAAGGGGACGGAAGCTAAATGCAGGATAATGCTGGACTCCCACCCCTCAGCCCACCTGACCAAAGCTGTAGATACCTACAGGTGAATTTTATGGAAGAGTTTGGCAATGCCCTGATGGGTCCAGTCTTTTCCCAGTTGTGGCAAAATGTGACCCAAGGCGTCAGATCTAGGAGGAGAGGAAGGGGTTAAAATACACTCTAAAAAAAAAAAAAGTTATATCAAACCTGGAATCAGCATTCTAGGCATTGGTAGGCTTAGGATACCTCTGGGACAGGCCTATGTCCATGTACACAAGGCTTTTAATGAGATGAGACATCATGGAGGGCCACTTACTTAGTGATGGTCCCATCGATATCAGAGATCACCACCTTGTCATCCCAGTTCCACAGGTAGATGGTGGCCTCGCAGCGACATGTGCCCTGGTACTGAGTGGTCACACTGAACACCACCTCATTGGGGCCATCCTGAAGGTTCAGTCTCTTCTGCAGCAAGAGGGGAGAAAACGTCTAGCTGGTCGCACAGGGCCTCCCCACACGGTGTGAACAGGTATTCCACCCCAGCACTGCTCAGCTAGAGAAGTCGTGTGCCATTCAAATCTGGGTGCATCCCATGTCAAACCCCTATGGAACGCAACTGCTCTCGGGGCAGAATGCAGTAGCTGATGAGCAGCACAGCTGAAGGAGCTGTAGACATGGCAGTTTTTGCAAGAGAATGGTATCCCGCTGAACCCTCCCACGCTGTAAGGCCCAGGGGGGGGGGGGGGGGGACTGATTCCACTTGAGTGGGAGACATTCAAGCAAAATGTCTCCCACCCAACTAGTGGCCATACCTGACATTGCTTAGGTAGCATGCTGACGGGATCATAGGCTTAGACCAGGCTTAGACCTTAGATCATAGGCTTAGACGGGATCATAGGCTTAGACCAAGGGGCCTCTGCAGGTCAGATCCAGCCTGCCAAGCCAGTGGATCCGGCCCACAGCTGCCTTGCCATTCCCCCACCCCCAGGCCAAAGACGACCTAGGGACAGGGGAAGTGCACAAAGTCTCCTCCCCCTGCCAGGTGTGCGCAACATCAGAAGGACCTGCTGGCAGCTCTCAACCTGCCCTCACTACCTGTCCCCAGCGGCTAGAAACACTTTGCGTGCTTCCCCCATCCCCCAGCCCAATTGGCCAGGGGAGCACGCAAGATCTCCTCCCACTGCAGTGCCTAGAGGGAACCACCAGCTGTTTTAAAACACTCCCCCACACCCCCAGGCCATTCAGGGTCTGTGGGTGGGGGAGCATAAGATGACTCTTGGTTCTGCCACTTCTGCCTGAGGCCTCGCCCTTTTCGGGGCAGCCTGGGGCCACTTCAGAACTTTGTGAAGTATCCCCCTTTTAAAAAATGATTGCCCACCCCGGTCTGGACCAAAACGTTAATGCTCATGAATGGTTTGGCCCCCCACTATAGATCATCTATTTAACAGGCTCTTAAGTAGTGGCAAGCCTATTTGAAGGGCGCTCTCTCCTCTTTCAGAGAGAGGCACAGATCTTCTCCCGTCAGCATCAATAGAGAACACACACACACACACACACACACACACAGACACACACACACACACACACACTTACAATCTGATCTGAAGAGAGCCGCAGTGATTTCTTGTAGGTGGCATCGGGTCTTGACACTGGGGATATGGAGTTGTCACTGGACAAAGGATCCGTCTTCCCCCTATGCCCGCATGGAAAGGGAAATACAAAAACAAGGCTGCTTCACAGCAGCAAAGACAGCAGCCCCGGCACAAAGACAAAACCACATACAGGAAAGAGACCAGACTTCAGGCAGGTATGATCAGCTTTGCTCAGGTAGAGGGGCTGGCACCATGGGACGGAGGAAGGGTGCATGACTGGGATTGTCATACAGATGGTGTCTCCGGAGCATTAGTCATACAGGGTAATAGTGAGCTGAATGTGCCAACATAACCCACCTCTCAGCCCTCCCAAGACCATGAAGGGGGTCCTACCATGCCCACACACAGGGTCAGCCATTGAGAAGAGCAATTCACCTTCTCCCTCCTTTTAGTAAGTAGGCGACAAGTACAAAACCCGTGAGCCCAGCCTCCACCAAGGACTGAGCTACCACAAGAGGGCTGCTTACCTCTCTGGTGTAGGGCCCTGCTGTAGGTCTCTTGTGCTGGGTTCATGCTGTGGACACAGGCATTTCTACCATTAGCTCCTTGAGCTGGATTGCTGTTGGAAGCTCAAAGGCCAAGAGCAAGGGCTACCTGCTTGGCTGGCTCTCAGAGTGGAACTGGGCAGCTCTCTGCCATGAGAGGAAAGAGGTGCACAACAAAACCCACCAGCACCTAGTGGAGTTGGGGGAGGGAATCTTACCCCATCCCATCTGTGGCACAAGAGATGTGTGGGGTAGAAGTAACATCTGGCCCTGACAGGGGCTACCTTTCCTACCCTAGGGAGCCAGGTCCTACTTGGATTCTGGAAGACCACAAGGTATTGGACATCTGCTACTGTAGAGCTCTGCCCTCCTGTATACATTTCTTTAGTTTTAAGCAGCAAGTTCTCATGGGCGTATGCACCAGACATGCCACCCAAGTGCAGGGGGAACGCTCTTGCGTGTGGAGATCCAGGGGTTTGTATCACACTAACAGCTCAGGCACTAGGGCTAGAGCTACACCACCACTCGCTTCATATAACTTACATCACTCAGGGTTGTGTATAAGCCATATAAGCCATCCCTCCTTTCCCCCCTCCCCCTCAGCAACAGAAGGGAGGCCAACCCCAGCACCTCTGTGAACAGCGCTATAGCCGGCAGGAGAGCCAATGTAGCTACTGCCTCTTATGGAGGCTGATTTAGTATGCGGATGGGAGAGCTCTCCTCACAGCACAGAGCATCTTCATCAGCACTTCTGGCTTAGACTAACCATGATCTTCCAGCAGCATTAGTGTTTGAGGAGTTAAGCCATTGCTTAGTGTCCTCTTTACAGAGGTTACTGCCACCAGTCTCCACCTCAGCTTGGCTCCCAAGCCCTGTCGTGGTTTGGCTTAGGCAGGCGAGTGCAGAGGGAGGAGGAAGTTACTCAGTCACAACCACCACACACATACCTCCTCAGCAGCCAAGTCTTTCCTCCTCCAGGAAAACCACCACCTGCCGCTCTTCTTGGGCATTTTCTCCTTCACCAACCGGTCAATGGTGCTCTGTGAAGATGTGAGAATTTGAAAGGGACAAATCCTGCTGCACAGTGAATTCTAGCTGAGCCCAAGGGAGCCCTAGACTAGAGAATGTCCACAAAGCAGCCTCACCCAATGACCTCAGGCTGGCAACTGAGGATTACCTCAGTGGCAGACAAGCCACTCATCATGGGCCGAAGAGAAAAATTCACAGTATTTACCTCCATTCAGCTTCCTCCCTCACCCCTCTATCACCACAACCCATCTCTGAGGAGCTGAGGCCACCTCACAAAAGACAAGAGCAGACGGAGCTCTGCCACAGACCAGGAGTGTCTGGCTCAGCCCTGTCCCCAGGCAGATGTCCCCACACAGGCCTTTTGTCAAGAGGGCAAGGGAAAGCGCCATTTCCCCAACTGCCCCGTTTGGGCACTCAGCAGCACTTGGGCACGCTCAGGCAGGGGGAGCAGGGAGTGCAAAGGAGATAGTTGCCCGAAGGCTCCTAGCTGTTGCCACTGTGGTGGCCAGAGCCCCAGGCCTATTAAATTGCTGCCAGAACAGCGCACTTCACACTCCCTTGCAGTTCTAATGAGGGAAGGGGGCACGTGCCATGGGCCGGGCATCTGAGGGCTGGCTGCCTCAGCCCAGCCCCTTCTGCCTGAGGCCCTGTCCCTTCTGAGAGCGCAGAGCTAGGCTCCTCCCTCCACCCGTCACCTCGCCCAGGGGCCCATGCAGACTGTCCGCTCCCCTGGTGGGGCATAGAAGTGTCCATGCTTGCACCAGAGTGCAGATCTGCATGTTGAGAGAGAGGAGAGAGGAAAGGGGACGATCGATGCACTTTTGCCATTGGGGAGAGGAGGATACACTCCGCACCAGCCTCTTCCACGGCACTGCAGCTGCCCAGGCTCTTAGCTCCCACCCCTGACTTCACCCTAGACTTATTTAATCTCTTTTTGCCCCCCCGCTCTCCATCTCTAGTATACAGGCATTTATAGCCGCTCACTATACAGTGAGGTTGAGAGTCTGGACAGAGCATCTGGGACCACTGGGTAATGAGGACGATCGGCACAGGAATAGAATCCCCTTAAGGGTAAGAAACGCTGCAGGGTCAGAGGAACGCCCTGTTTGTCATTTACCTCAGGGATGTTCTTCTGGAATGCCTGTAAGGAGAGGATCATGGGGGCAGCCACTGCCCAGTTATAGTACCTGAAAGACACAAGCAGTAGAGGAAGGAGATTGCAAGTGAAGTGCTAAAGCTTGAGGAGGTTGGGAGCGAGGCACAGGGAGGCTGCCTGGGAAAGGAAGCTAAAGTAAGTTAAGTGGCAACAGGAGGGATAGGGCCATACCAAATTCACTGCAGTGAAAAACACATCATGGACAGGGAAATCTGGTCTCCCCCTGGGAAATCTGGCCTTGCATGTGCTTTTCCTGTGCTACACGGATTTCACAGTGAAACCAGTATTTCTCAAACTGGGGGTACTGACCCCAAAAGGGAACCGTGAGGAGGGTCACAAGATTATTTTAAAAAGCTTCAAAAGGGTAGCTGAGTTAGTCTAACAGGAAAAACTAAAAAACAAATAGTCTAGCAGCACCTTAAAGACTAACAAAATATGTAGATGGTATCATGAGCTTCCGTGGGCGCAACCCAGTTCAGATGACAGAAGTATTAGAAGTCCAGATCCAAGAATAAATAAGGGAAGGCGGGGGGAGGGGGCGGGTGAAGGGGAGGTAAAGAAAGAGTGAGTTGATGATTCAAATAGTGATAGAGATGTAGCCGTGTTAGTCTGGTGCAGCTGAAACAAAATACAGGACTATGTAGCACTTTAAAGACTAACAAGATGGTTTATTAGATGATGAGCTTTCGTGGGCCAGACCCACTTCCTCAGATCTGAGGAAGTGGGTCTGGCCCACGAAAGCTCATCATCTAATAAACCATCTTGTTAGTCTTTAAAGTGCTACATTGTCCTGCATTTTGCTTCATGATTCAAATAGTTACAACAGGCTGATAAGAACAATTAGCATCTCCATTGATTGTTATGCAAATGGTATGAGCCTAACAATTAAACCAGTAAAGTAAGTTAAGTGCCAATCCTTCTCTGTGTATTTGGCTTGTGGAATTAGTGACTTGGAGATACTTTAATCTATCTGGAACATTAATGTGTTCTCCAACAGGTTTTTATATGTTGCCTTTTCAGATCTCTGATGTGTGTCCATTAATTCTTTCCCATAGAGACTGTCCAGTTTGGCCACTATACATAGCTGTGGGGCATTGTGGGCAGAGATCACATTAGGGGATAGTCAGTTAAATGAGCCTCTGATTTGGTGGCTGATGTGGCTGGATCCAGTGATGCAATCGCTAGTGTAAAGGTGTGGGCTGATTGCGGGGTGGGTTCCTGTAGGATTATGATGAAGGTGTGTTGCATAGTTATTGGAAAGACTTTGAGGTTACGGGGTTGTCTAAGCGAGGATTGGCCTTTCGAATTTAAGTAGGAGTGACAGTTCAGAGGATTCTCTTTCAAGTGTGGTCTGAAAGGGTCTTTGATTGTCTCAACAACTTGATTACCTGCATCCTGCTTCAAAGACATTTTCAGACCACACTTGAAAGAGAATCCTCTAAACTGTCATTCCTACTTAAATTGGACACTTTTGCCTAAGTTTAAACAAAGACATTAATTATCTTACTCATTACAGAGATAGCTTCCCCAATTATCGCCTCTAATATCATTAGCTCACAGACATTTCCCTCCCCCGCCCCCATCTCCCTTCTGTTCTGAAATGTGATTTGTCCTTTTCATATGGTTTTTTTTTTTTAATTGTATCCTTTGGTATATGTGGTTGTGACAATTTTCTTCCACTATTTGATCTGAGGAAGTGGGTCTGGCCCACGAAAGCTCATCACCTAATAAACCATCTTGTTAGTCTTTAAAGTGCTACATAGTCCTGTTTTTTGTTTTACCTTCCGCATCCTATGACTTAACCAGATGTTAATTGTTCTTATCAGCCTGTTGTAACTATTTGAACCATCCACTCACTGTCTCATCTCTTCTCCCTCCCCCCCCCTTCTTTATTCTTAGATCTGGACTTCTAATACTCCTGTCATCTGAAGTGGGTTGCACCCACAAATGCTCATGATACCATCCACATGCTTTGTTAGTCTTCAAGGGGCTACTAGATTATTTGTTGTTTTTAATATTTTAGGGGATCACTATTGCCACCCTTACTTCTGCACTGCCTTCAGATCTGGGGGGCAGTAGCTGTTGGTTGGGCACTTAGCTCTGAAGGCAGCACAGAAGGGTGGCAATGCCACCACCTTACTCCCAGCCAGCAGCCACTGCTCTCCAGCCCCAGAAGTAGCACCGAAGTAAGGGTAGCAGTGCTGCAACCCCCTGCTTCAACAACCTTGCGGCTGCCTCAAAATCCCTTTTAGGGTCAGCACCCCTACCATTACAAGACCATGACATTTCAGATTTAAATTAGCTCAATATCATGAACATTTATTGTGTAAATCCTAGGACCAGAAAACTAAAATGCACCATGAATTTGATAGGGCCCCAAGAATGGGCATTCTGGGAAGGCTGAAGGAGAGACGTGGCTACACGAACACACTTTGGTAACAGGACTCTCAGTGAAGGCAAACAGAAGTGTCAGGAGATGTGGCCTCTGCCTAGGGGAGTGAAGGCCGATGGTTTTGGGAAGCGAACAGGTAAGGGAAGGGGCTGGTATTGGGATGTAGCCATGCCAGCTATAGCACATGCCCTGTGGCTAGTGACCAGAGCATCATGGCTGAACTGCAAGCTGCAAAGGGGTTCCCCTTCACAAATAAGTGCTCCAAGAGCCACTTGCAAGCTGGGAGGGTAGAAGCAAAGTGTGGAGCATGTCCTAGAAAGGGAACAAGTTTGTATCTGGTGCAAGGGCAGCAAGGAGTCATATTCCAGGTCATGCTGGCTGCAGGGGGCTCTCCCCAGTTTTAAAACTTCTGAACAACTAGGCCACAGTTTTGTCTATTTCCCACAAAGCAGCCAGCAAGCACCACATATCCCAGCCTAGGCAGTACACCAATATAGGCATCAATCATGAATGTTCAGAGAGTGGTTTCTTTGGCACAAAGGGAATAGACAAAGTTACCAGCGCTAGAAGCCAAGCGAGCAGACTACTCACTTCTTGTGGATCTTTATCACCAAGTTTGGGTCATCAAGGACTTCTGGGTTCTCAGCGAACTCATGGTAGGAGACTGTGTGCTCCATGAACTTCTCTAGCAGAAACAGGAAGGTGGGACGAGATGAAATACCCACAAGCCAGCTCCTGAGCAGTCCCTTTCTAGAAAGTTAAGCTCACATGAATCAGACATACGCAGCTCTAATGGCTGTTAAGCTACAGATTCATTGGAGTGGATTCCTAGGCCATGACATTTCTTCATTGCTGTGCACCACCTCTCCAGATTCACTTGAATGGGTCCTGCAGATACCTCCCCAGCCTCTTCCATGGCACTACAGCCACTCCACTCCCTCTCTGTACTATACCTCCTCTCGTACAGCTATGTACCATTCCGTCTAAAGAGAGTGGGATGGGATTGGAAGGGTGTGGGGGCTGGTTGTAGCAGAGCCAGCTGCTGTCCCAGCACAGTAGGCTCTGCCCATGGAGAAGGGCACCCCTAGAGATGTGCTATGAAGATTAATAGCAGGTTCTTCCCTCTCCCTTAGACCTACTGTGCAAGATTCTGCTGCTGTCTCCGAGACCACCACAAAGGGATAACGCAATGGGGTGCAACAGGTCATGAGTGGGGTCCATTAAGGTATCGATGCCTCCATCAGTTGTAGGACCAGCCAGCGGCTGGGTAGGGCCCAGGCTGCTGGGATCTGCTGAGGGCTTTGAACCTGGTTCCACATCACTGTCAACAACAGAAGGACCAGTGACAATGCTGCATGGGTCACCTGTACACCCGAGTGAGGGAGCCAAACTCCTTCCCTCCTGAGGCACATTTCACAACCCAAACCAGGAGATCAGGTTTCCCTAGAAGGTAGGGTTCATTTGTATGAATGGGCAAGAGGAGTTCCTTCTGACCGCATCAGGCCTTGAACTCTAAGTGGAGGTGCAGAGCTGTTCTGCCTACCCTCATGGCAGTCAATCCAAGGGAATGAGGGGTGTTCTCCACAGCTTAATTCAAAAACGTGAGCAGGATGTACTGCTGGGAGAGAGCTGCCTTGGACTTCTCAGGAACACACTTGGGCCTAAGGTGTACATCTGCGAGTACAAACCTGCCTTAAAACAGCAGCACACCCTCAAGAATTAAGGCAAACCCCAGGAAAAAAAAGGGGGGGGGGATGGGCTAGTGAAAAGCCTCCACGTACATGTTGTGGTATGAGTGTAATAGAAGCTAGACTGCCTTGAGAGAAGTCATTCTGGCAAAGGCCATTCAATGCTCTCCACTCCCATCTACATTGTAGGGTGGAACTGTGCTTAGCGTAGCTAGGACTGTAGTGGGTTTATCTGGATCAGTTTCTGCCATGTCATTTCAGTGTTCACTCTCTCCACATGAGTACAGAGAACAATCTTCCCTGGCTTCCAGGAATCAAATCCTTCCCCACTTCCTTCCTCCCTCCCTCCCTCCCCTGCCCCCCAACTGCCTCACAGGCCAAGGCGGTGGCCAGAAGGCACTCTGCAATCAGCCTAGCACAGGTCATACCTTTTGGGGAAATAAAGGGCTGCCTGCTCCTCGTCCAGATTGGTGAGGTCCTCCAAGTAAATGTCGCTGGGACCCAGGTGAGGACTTCTCTTTATGGAGCCTCAAACACAGACACACATAGTGAGACCAACATTTTCCCCCTATACCTCAGGCTTGTACAGAAGAGCCAAAACTCTTCACATGAAGGAATAAAGATTCCCTTTGAAACAGACACTTCAGTAAACCAGGGTGCTGCAAAGCCTGCAGACCACCAAGTTATGCTAGTGCAGGAGAACCTAGAAATGAAGCCAACTACAAGGCAAGATGGGAGAGTGAACACACACGTAACAGTTTCCAAATTCAGTAGCAAGGAAAAAGTCAAACTCCACCCCTGGATGTTAGGGTTACTTTGCATAGCTTACAGGGAATATTTGGGCAGCCACTCAGAACAAATTAAAAAGCCACCCAGCTGATCAGCAGAGTGACCAAAGCCGGCAGCACTTGCCTCAGTGCACAAATTTTTATTCCCCACATGGTTGGAAAAAAAGTTAGAGAATATGGCTCTGCAGCATTCAACACCACAAGCTTCTGTACAGATCTAATTTGTTTTTTTTCAATCTTTCTGCCTCACTATACTGGGGCAAAGCCAAGTAGCCCCATTAATCCCAGGTGATTTTGCTTTGGATTTACCCCACTGAGTAAAATGTGGCTCAGTGTCACTTAAATGCTAGAACCCCCAATATCCTTGAATATTGGAAAGGACAAGCCGTGAGACCCAGCGGAGCAGAGATTCTGTGTAGGGACTTGGAGAAGGCAACTGCTGGACTTGCACAAAGCGAGATGCAAAGGCCAGGCCTGCTTTGCCATGTTTGAAGGATGTTTTGGAAAGGAGGAAGGTTTTGAAAAGCGAACAGGTAAGGGAGGGGACTGGGATGCAGGACAGGGGGTACCAACTGAAAGAGAAGCTGGTGGTGCATGTTGCTCTGGGGCTTGCCAAGCAGGCAGAGAGAAGCTGGATGAAAGCTCACCACTGGGGGGAGCCAGAGAGCAAGGTCACCTTCTCAGTTGTGCTATGTGGCGCTTGGTGCACGACTGGGTGCGGGGGAGATGCCGACTGAACACCCCACTCCTAAAGCACAAGAGCCTGCATGCTCAGAAGAGAAACCTTGGGCTGGCCTAGCAAGACGACACGAGTCTCAACACAGCTCTAAACCAGGCAGCCCAGCCCCATTCCCAGAACTACACCCATCTCCCTTATCCACAGTCCAACCTGCCGCTCACCTGGCCTCCTCGGGCTCTCCAGTTGGGTTTCTGGGCTATCACTGGGTTCCACGCTCTCTGACCCAGCCCATCTTGGGGTAGGGGCTGCCTGCACACAAGAGGGCTCCGGCTTGAGGAATTGCTGGCTCTTCACAGTGTTCTCTTCTTCCTTGGCCCTTCCCACTGGCTGTTCCTGTGCGGTCTGCTCTCCTTGTGGGGGCAAGACGGTTTCTGGCACACCCCCAGCCACAGCTGTGGATTCTGCTGAGGGGGGCTCTGTCAGCTCATGGGGGCCATTCCCATTTTGGAAGAGAGGTGTAGGCCTAATTATAGGTGTGGTGGAGGAACAGGATGGATCCTGGCAGTCTGCTGTTCTCCAGTCACCTTCCAAACCTGCCGTGATGGCTTGGAAGTGGGTCGTTTGGCTCACTGGGATGGTCGTTGTTGTGGTGAAGGTCAAAGTAGACTTAACTGGTTCAACTCGCTCCAATTTACTCACCTGAAGGAGGGGGAAAGAAAGAGGAGTGGATCAGCCCTTCCAAAAAGGGGGGGCGGGAGGGGTGGCAAAAATTCTCCTCCAGATTAGTCTCCATCTCCCATATGTACTTCTAGGCCCTAGCTGGCATGGCACCTGCATGGAGCGCATGAAGAAGAGAGTCATTAACCAGTGAATGGTGCCTCCATGTACTTTCTTACCGCAGTAGAAGACCTGCTTCCCCAAGATTCTGGCACTATGGAAAGCAAAGGCTGGTTGTTGCTTCATATTTACAGTACTAAGCTAAACTAGTCCAAGCACCTCTCCCCCAGTATCACTGCACCCATAAAGCGTATGTATGGACCAGCCTTTCTACCACCCCGCTGCAAAAGGCTCCATGTCACATACACAAATAATCAAAGACAACTGACCTCAGTGTCGCTGGTTTTGAGGAACCATGTGCAAGTACTGTATTACAGAAGATACATTAGGAAACTTTAAAGGTCGCACAGTTAAGCACTCCAAGATGCCAGAATTAAGTTTGTCTACAAACATCCCTCCCTCCCCATGGACTTGATGAGCAGTCACCTGTACACACAAATGTAAATACCCGCCAAACCCATCAGGCTGTTCTCTTTTGGCTTGTAAGGGGTCTACCAACAAAAACCTAGTCAGGGAACATGGCCACAGTGGGCTCTCGGGAGAAAGGGAAGCACCAGACAAGTGCGGTTCTGTAGGATCTGACCTAGAGCTCAAGCTACAGGGACAATACTTTGTGTAACAGGCATTTAGAGTCAGAACTGACCATCTCAGCTTGTGCATTATGCTTTAAGGCTGGGACTAAGCATTAAAGCGAGTCAGACATTCTTGAGATGAGATGTTTAAGACCTCCCCCCACATTGCTCCAGAACAGCCCACACAGAATGCAGAGATGCCTTCTGACAACTGCAGCACTGATCCTACTGCACCTAGTTGAAAGAATTAAGCTGCAGCTTGAATCCCAGGACAGCCACAGTCTCTTGCTAGCCAATGAGCCAGCTGCACAGTGACATGTAGCCAGAATGCCAGTCCCTGCCCCCAGCCGGTCTTTCCAAAAGGCAAAATTTGCTCAGATTGTTTTTCCCATTCCCCTTCCCTTACCTACCTGAGGGAGCCTCCCCCAAGTCCACTGCATGTGGGTTTCAGCTCCAAGAGGGGGTGGCTCAGAGGGTTTGATCTCCAGTTCAGAATCGCTTTTGGGAGAAGACGGACAGCTTGGGGCGAGGCTACAGAGAAGAACAAGGAAGTCAAGCAGAACTCCTACGTACACAGCACCCAGCCTCGCTATTTGTATCACAGTAGCACCCGACACCTCCTCAACTGGGATCAGGGCCCTGCCATGCTAGGTTCCATACAGACACAAAGCTGGTCCCTACCCAAAGAGCTTACATTCCAACTACAGGCAGTCCCCGGGTTACGTACAAGATAGGGACTGTAGGTTTGTTCTTAAGTTGAATCTGTATGTAAGTCAGAACTGGCGTCCAGATTCAGCCGCTGCTGAAACTGATCAGCGGCTGATTCCAGGAAGCCCGGGGCAGGGGCTTCCTGTAGTCA